TTCTAGACAAACCCAGAGAAAATGATCCACACCCTGTGTGATAAACAAGACATCAACTGTTAATAAGATACAAAAATGAGGAATCAGATCACTTGGTTGTCTTTGGATTTTAGTCAGTAAAAAAATAACTGATCTGTCTTTCAGGTCATGGAAACAGTGCTGGATCTCGTATTCATTTTATCATCCGCGGCCAAACGTGATTCAGAAAATGACGCCTCTGCCTCTTTCTCACACTTAGCAATGGCAGGTGGCACAAACTCCAAAATTACTCATGACTGGGTTAGAAGAGGAGAAGAGAAGCAGAAGAAAAGAGAGTCTGGGAACAATGTTTTGACCAATATTTCTTCATGAGTCCAGTGAAGCTGAACCTCTCTAACACATGTTTCTGCTGCTCCAAACATTTCCTTGGATATATTGTGTCTCCATTTTTAGCAAAGATATTCAGGATTAGGTTAGGTAGCAACTTGAGCCACTGAACACTCATCTGGAAACTTGTCTTGGAATTCTTTTCTCCGTGGAGATTAAATATCTTGGAACAAAGTTGAAACAAAGGTTAGAACCGGGACTGTGTGAACACTTGTCCATAAAGATATGTGGTATGTGGTGTATTTCCTTCTCTGCCAAATGTGATGTGCAGCTCATAAATGAAGTTTATGGGAAACACAAATCTGAGTGTCTCCTTTTGATATTCCTCGGGAATGCAGCCTTATCTAGTTAGTGTGGCCTTTGAATGCTGCCAGCACCAGTCCTCTTTCGTCAGTTCAATAAAAGCAATTTGATCACAGCCAGGCAGAGCCCTGGGACTCTTGCAGCTGCTGAGTTGGTTTGTTCTTGTTAGAGGGAAGGTATTATGTTTACACTGCTTAAACTCCAAACCATGGATTGAGGAGACTGTGATGAAATCGGGCTCTGGTATGCTGACTGGAAGATAGCTCCTGGAGCTCTTTGACTTTTAGTTTCTGCTCCCTTGTGTTATTAATCTCCCTTATGCCCTGATTCTAAGGAACCAATATGGCAAAAGTGGTGGGATGTCACTTCCAAGATTAGGTTTTTAAAGTCTGGGATGCCTGTCTTGCTAGCACTGTCTTTTATGAGGATTTTCTCACTGTATGTCTCTTCTTGTTGGCTCAATTGCTCTGGGGAAGCAAATTGCCATGTTTTGAGATGCCCCATGGAGAGGTCCATATGGCAGGAAATAGAAGGTGGCCTCAGGCTAATCGCCAATGAAGAGTTGAAAAGGGTCTTTAGTCCAAAAGCCTTCAAGGAACTGAATCTCATCAACAAGTCTGCATGGGACTGTAACCTGGGAGAGTCCCTGAGATCCTGAGAAGCTATTTCCAGGGTTCAGCTCTATAGAAACTGAGAAAGTAAATATTGTTTCAAGCCACAGAGTTTTGAGGGACTTTGTTTCATAGCCATGAGTAATAACAACTGATTACAGAAGTAATAAGGCTTCGGGTGGGGCACAAATATTGGAAAAAGAATACATATATACATTTGCATCTGAGTCACCAACTCAAATGGTCTTTGTGACAGATGTCTTACATATATTGTCTATAATAATTGCAACAACCTGGCAAGGGTAGTGTTGTTCACATATTTTGGAAGAAGTAGATATTCTGGAAATCCAGTTACTTGACTCAGAACATATGGTTAGAAGACTAGAATGATGAGAGAGACCAGTCTCCTGCTCTCAAGTCTGGCTCTTTCCTTTACATTTAGAGATAAGAGGAGGGGGCAGAGTTGGGGGGCAATCAGAATCACCTGCAGATCTTTTCAAAGTTACTGATGTCACTCTCCTTCTCTAGAGGTACTGACGTTGTGAAGTGAAATATATCATAGTGAGGTTTACAGGAAAAACACTGACCTTACACAAGTTCAGCCTTACCCTTTGCAGCTGGGATAAGTGAGTAGAAAGTAAATTTTGCTCATTCCTAGAAGTTTCTGATGGAGAATTTGGTAGCCTTTAGAAGCCTACTTAGAGAAGTGATCTCGTGACTTTGGTGTTCTGGTCTTAGGTTGTTTGATGAAGTTAAAAAACAACAGTGCCCAGAGTTGCTATTTGATGGTTTGTATATATCATCCAATGAGTGCTAAACCCTACCTCACCTACAGCCAGGAGTTAGCAAAATGAATTTGGCTAAACAAGCACAAGTTGGGAATGAAAGGGATATGTGGTGAGTTTTACTTCATTTAGTGTAAGAACAAGATTATTAACAAACAAACAAACAAAAAACCAGAAGGGAACATTGTAGGACTGCACCTCAGGAAGGTGAGTGTTGTCCTGTACTCTCCCATGATGGCTGTGAGAGCTGAAAAGAATGTCTGACTAGCTCCAGCAGCAACTCCAAGGTCTCTCTTCTATCATGAGTCCTTTAGCCCTTGCAATGGCTTTCCCAGTCTAGCCCTAGAGAGAGGAGAGATGGTCACTTCCAGCCAAATACAGCACATTTGAATTATTTATTAAGTGCTTTACATGGAGTGAAAGGGCTTCTGTGGGCAGGACTTGTAGAACATAAGAGGTCCTCATGCAGGTCATACCTTGCTTTCATGTCAATGACTTCTTATGTTACTAGAGGACATCACAAACAACTGACAAAGTCCATAGGTTCTGCTGGAGGAGATGATTGGAGAGGCTTCTTCTTCTTCTACACCTTCCTGCTACCTCATTGATTTTTTTTCCTCTTGGGATACTGGGGATGTCCAGGGTCTTGCATCTTCTAAGCCAGCTCTGCCACTGAGCCACACCACAGCACTACCTTGTTTCATTTTACATAGGCTTTTCTGGGCACCATTAACCAATATGGTAGTCACCAGCCACATGAGACTAGGCATCAATTGCAATGGGGTTAGTGGGACTAAAGAAGAGAATTTTTTTTTTGGGGGGGGTATGTATATGTGTGCTAGGGATGGAACCCAGGAACTCAGGCATGCTAGGCAAGTGCTTTACCACTGAGCTACATCTGCAGCCCAGGAAATGAAATTTTCACCCAATTTACATTCAATTAATTTTAATTTATATGATTATATGTAGTTGGCAACTACTGTGTTGGATAGCACAGTTCTAGAGGCTGTTCTCATTATACTGATTTTTCACTAATTTATTTTTAGTTCATGTTTGTAGAACATTTTCCAAAAGTCAGGCACTATGCTTATAATTTTGCATATATTCATACAATTTTCACAAAACCTGATGAGGCCCATAATATTACTTACATTTTCCAGAGCAGAAAGTTGAATCTTAGAGAGATGAAGTCAACTGCTTCAAATCACAGAAGCAGGAGATAGGATTAAAATAGTCTGTCTGGCTCTAACCTTCATTTCCTATACAGAACAATGAGACTGAGTAGGAATGGGGCGGGTGTGAGTGTGTTAAAAAAAACGGACTCAAGACAACTAAAATATAATCTTTGTTATAGTGGGTTCTTTTATTTTATTGCTTATTGTAAACAGTTTGGCCACAGAAAATATGTTAGTTTGTAAATCACCATAATTTAAAGCTTTCACATCACTTTCTGTTTCCCCTTGAAGTTGCATCGTCTGTGAAAATAATCATTGAAGTTCAAAAGTCTATGATGTGCACAATTGTGATACTGTTACACTAAACACAAGTAGTAAAAATACTCATCTATTGTAGGAATATAGGTTTGTATCCCTTAAGGAGGGCATAAATACAGGAGAGATGGAATGGAATGAAAGGGCTTCTGTGGGCGGAACTTGTAGAACATAAGATGTAGCCAATCAACACCTGTTAATGGCAGAGATGATGAAAATCAATTTCCAATGGTCTTTCCTTTGCATGTTTTCTTCAGGAATGTACAGTGCATTTGCAATCAACATTCTCAAAATTGTGGAGACCCTGGCACATTCAGTTTCATAGCTGCAGTGTAATTGGATCTGATCACACTTGCAGAGGAAAAAATAAAATTAAATCATATGTGCTGTTAACATTGTGCTAAATACTATAGTGAGTCAGGGAATCTTTCAATAGAATAGACTGGAACTCTTGAATACTGTCATGTTCATGAGTAAGAAAATCAACTGTGCCTAAAAATCAGGCAAGTGATTTCAAACAAATCTAGTCTTTAGACCTCACAAGCAGGCTAATTAGGCCAGATCAATGTATTTCTAGTATAGATATTTGAATGTATATTATATAACCAGTTTCCTAACTATAAGTGCAGATACTATAATTTATACCTTAAGGAATTTCCTTTGATCATTTTATTTAGCAAAATTCTTAACAACATTTTAGGATTTCACCAAACGATGGTGATGATAGTGGATTAAGCATTTTAGGTTTAATTCTATAATGACACAAAAGTCCTATCATCTATCCCCAAAGTTCAGTATACAATTTTAAATATATGAAAGGATCCATATAAAATATAAATGTTAAGGTCACTTCCAGCCAAATATGGCACATTTGAATTATTTATTAAGTGCTTTTACATCTAAAGGTAGGCACTTCATAAAATTTACATTTTGGTAAAAGGCAACCATGTGATGTCAATATCTTATCCTTTTTCATTTGCTATATAACTTTTTCAAGAGAATAGATAACCATAGTTTTACAAAAGAGGAATATAAATTTGTCTCAGTTACATTTAAATGGACTCCYACAGAAGGCAAACCAAATTGTATTTTTCCCTTTTCTTTTTGTTAATCTATTGTATGTTTTCATGGTTAAGTTCTAAGATTTTACTGATATAAAATCTATAGGAATATTTGCCTTCTTATCTTTTACTTTAAAGTGAAGCTTTTATTGCCTGTAGAACTTGATACAATTTCTCCTTCATCAATGGAAAACCCTCATAAATCCACTGACCAGTCAGATGATTTTTTAGGAGGTGGCAGCTGACATTGAAGAGTGTTTGGCTTGTAGCAACTGTGTTTTAACTCTCAAAGTAAATAAGTAAGAATCAATTGTTGCTTTTATTTTTAGAACCATAGAAACTCACTTGCATTAAAAAAAATGAGCAGAACTTTTGGGTGTCCAATGGGCTTATTTACCATTTGATTTAGGTACCCTTTCTAGGTCATATATTAGGTTCGTTTTGAAGTCTTCATAACAGGAAGCTTTACAAAATAGTTTTGTCCATAAGAAAGCTCTAAATGCTGTTTTTAAATAGAGGGATACCTTGGAGATATTGTGGGTTCAGCTCTAGACTACCACAATAAAATGAATAGCATAATAAAGTGAGTCACAATTTTTTGGCTTCCCAGTGACTATTAAAGTTAGGTTCACATTATACTGAGTCTAAGTGTGCAATAACATTATGTCTGAAAAAAAACTTTATTGCTAAAAATGATAAGGATCATCTCAGTCAGCATTCGATCATAATATTTTTGCTGGTGGAGGGTCTTTAATTCAACTTTGGTGGCTGCTGACTGATCAAAGTGGTGTTTAATAAAGGATGGGGAGGAGGTTTCAATTTCTTAAAATCAGGCAAAAGTAGAGTCTGACACACAGATTGACTTTTTCATGAAAGATTTCTCTGTAGCATATAATGTTGTTTGATAGCATTTTATCTACATTAGAACTTTTTTCAAAATTACAGTATATCGTCTCAAACACTGATGCTAATTTGTCAACTAATTTTTTGTACTATTCTAAATCCCTTGTGTTTATTTCAACAATGGCACAGCATCTTTACCAGGAGTTGATTCTACCTCTGTAAACTATAATTTTTTAAAAAGTATTTCTTTTCTGAGTAATAGATCTCAATAGCAGGCTTAAAATATTCAGTAACCCATGTTGTAAATAGGCTTTCTTGTTCCATGAATAGAGCACAAGAACAGTATATTCAGTATAACTTGCAGGAATTCAGGATTTTTAGAATGGCAAATGAGCATTGGCTTCCATTTAGAGTTACCAGCCGTATTAGTCCCTTAAAAAAATTGAATCATCCTGTTCTTTGAAGCTCTGAGGTCAGACTTTGACTTCTCCATAGCTCTGAAAGTCCTGGATGGTATCTTCTTTCAATATAAGGCTGTTTCATTGACATTGAAAACATGTCGTTTAAAAAACTAAAAGTAAAATCTGTTTAGCCTTTTCATGAATTACCTGAGCTAGGTGTTCTAGAGAACTTGCTGCAGCTTCTTCTATATAGGCACTTGCTTCGCTTGTGCTGTCTTGTTATAGAGATGGTTTCTTTCCTTAAACCTCATGTACTGAGCTCTGCTAACTTCTAACTATTCTTCTGCAGCTCGCTCAACTCTCTTGGCCTTTATCAAATTGATGAGAGGATTAGGCTTTGGCTTAAAAAAATGTTGTGGCTGGTTTGATCTTCTATCCAGAAAGTTTTACCCACTAAAACGTCCTACATACCAGCAATCAGGCTACTTCTCTTTCTTGTCTTCACTGAAGTAACACTTTCAATTTCCTTCAAAATTTGTTTTTTTATATTCACAACTTGGTTTACTACTGCAAGAGGCTGAGTTTTCAGCTGTCTCTGCATTCTACATGCCTCTCATTGAGCTTGGTTATTTCTAGTGCATGATTTAAAAGGAGAGATCTATGACTCCTTTCAGTTAAACACATAGGGTTATTCATTGACAAAATTTCAACTTTTTTTTTATATCTTAGGGAATAGGAAGTCCCAATGGGGACAGTCAGTTGGTAGTGCAGTTGGAACATTCACAATATTTACCCTTTCTTAAGCTCCTTGCCCTACTTGGGCACAGTTTGTTTGTAGCATATCAAAACAACTGCTATATTAACATCAAAGATCACTGATCACAGATCACCATAACAGATACAATGATAAAGAAAAAGGTTTGGGATATTGTAATATCTCAAAATGTGAGACAGAGACAAGAAGTGACTGTATACTCCTGGAAAAATGGTGCTGATGAACTTACTCAATGCAGGCTTGCCATAAACCCCCATTCTGTAAAAAAATGCATTTTTTTGTGAAGCACAGTAAAGAAAAGTGCAATAAAATGAGGTATGCCTGTACTAAAAACCAAAGTCCCCTCTGGTAATTTCCATCCAGTGCCTCAAACAGTGCCAGGCACATACTAGGCCTCAGACACTCAATATACGTATATTAATAAAAGAAAGAAGGAGCAACTCTGGTTCTGACTTTAAAGCTACATAGAATAAAGCTGTTGGCTTATGTAGTCCGGGCCGTTCTCCTGTTCTACTGCAGTCTTCTCTTTTACAGGATCCATACTGAAACTGCCTTCATCTAGTCTTTAAACATCAGTTATGAGAAGTTCTCTCAATCTCATTCCTCTTCTTTGAATGTGCTTAAGTGGATCAGATCCCTTAAAACGTGATTCTGAAGAACCATGCATAATAATCCACATGGGGTCAGCTCTGATCAGGGTGGGAACCCTGTGCCTCTTAGCACAGACAGTCCACCAGAAATAGTATCTGACCCATAAAAGTATTCCTTAGAGCAACCCTTTCCTGTTTGTTTAGGTAATAGAGGCATTTCAATCTAGGCAAGATCATTGATTGACACATATTCTGTTCCAGGAGAAACATTATTTCCGTGAATGTCCAGGATAAGGAGGGGGTGGAGAATGCTGTGCTGAGGCCTGTGGAGTTGGGGAGTATGGAGGAGGCAAGTCTGCACAGTATTCCATCTCGTGGTCGTAACCATAGGGGGGTGGTGGCACTGAAAAAGAAAAGGAAGAGACCATCAGGCATTTGGAGAGTATTCAAGAGTTGTACTTGGACCACTGGACTGGATACTTTGAAAGGGAGCATAATTTTGGTCTGAAAAAGATTTTTTTATTTCAGGTCAAAAATACGTACTGTGAAAGGATAAGTGTTGTGAAATGTGGCAAATGGATGGAGGTGTTTAGAATTGGAGGCATAGGGAGAGATCCTGGGAAGTATGATGCTGAGGAGCAAAGAGAGAAAAAGATGAGGAACAATTCAAGTTTGACCCAAAGCAAAGAAGCAGGAGAGAGCACTGTTGTTTAAGCAAGATGTCTGTGGAGGGGAAATAGGGAAAGACATTGTGGAGTGTGGCTACATTATCATGGCAGGCTCTGAGTGTCTTTATGGTGTGCACTGCAGAGTTGTCAGAGATGATTTTTAATATATTAGTGAATATGCTTTGGGAAAAGGATTCCTTTTTGGGGGGGGATTAGGGGTACCAGGGATTGAACTCAGGGGCATTCAACCACTGAGCCACGTCTCCAGCCCTATTTCTTGTATTTTCTTTTAGAGACAGGGTCTCACTGATTTGCTTAGTGCCTTGCTTTTGCTGTGGCTGGCTTTGAACTTGTAATACTCTTGCCTCTGTCTCCGAAGCTGCTGGGATTATAGGCATGCACCACTGTGCCTGGCAGGAAGACAATGCTTTAAGCAACATGGACTCAGGAAAACTGAAGAAACGGTGAACTGATTTAGGAGCATAACTAAGAGATGTTTTAGTCAGCTTTTTCCACTGCTGTGACTAAAAGACCCATGCAAAACAACTGTAGAGGAGGAAAAGTTTATTTGAGGGCTCATAGTTTCAGAGGTCTCAGTCCATAGACATCAGACTGTGTTCTTCAGGGCTCAAGGTGATGTTCTTCAGAACATCATAGTGAAAGAGGGATGCAATTCACATCATGATCAGGAAGCTGAGAGAGACTCCACTTGACAGATACAAAAACATACCCCCAAAGCATGCTCCCAATGACCTACCTCCTCCAGCCGCACCCTACCCACCTTCAGCTACCACTCAGTTAATCTCTACAAGGGGATTAATTCATGGATTGGGTTAAGGCTCTCATAACCCAATCAGTTCTCTTCTAAACCTTCTTGCATTGTCCCACACATGAGATCTTGGGGGACCCCTCATAGTCAAACAATAATAAGGGATTCATGATGATGAGGAGAAAACATTCATATATGCCCTGATGAGCCAAGCATTTTGAGTACTTAGGTGATTAGGGGATGCCTGGGTATGTGGAAAAAGGGATGACAATGAGAAAGAAGATGCAAAGGTATGATTGCTCCATTGATCTATCAATCTATCTCCTCTATATGACAAGCAGGTTTCGGATTGATGAATTTAATTTTCTAAATATTTGAAAAAATTGTCTTGAATTTACTTTATTTATATGTCAGTGTGTTTTAAAGTCACACTTAAAACACTTTATGATGACTACGTATGGATGTCTATTTTGTAGTGATCTCAATCCTGTCTCCAAGATCAGAAGAGAGACTCCCCTTTAAGCTGAATTTCATCCAGCTCTTTGAGGAATTAATCACTCTGCAACAGCTGAGCAACCCCTCAGCAGCCATTCTGAAGGTATGGCAGAAGCTGAATCATCCTCAGGATCCTGGCTGTGTTTGGAAATCAACATGCCTTAATTGGTTACTGTGAATCCAGCCTCAATCTCAAGATCTGTGTCATGATAATGCAAATGAATGGCTAAGCCTTAAACATTAGAATGCAACTATCTATATAAATATATTTCTAAGTGTCTTCTAAATTGTGCTCCTTCTACTAAGAACTTAGCCATGTTCTGCTAAACAGGGATAGACAAACATGGGGCCTCAACTGCTAGGGTCCTGCCAAGTATGTTTCCTTTTGGATTGCTCTGGCTTGCCTCTTTGTCAAGTGCTTGATAATGGAACCATTTACAAACCTCCTGAGAGTCGAAGGATATGATGATGCGGAACTGAGTCACCTACAGAAAGGGAAAGAAGGAGCCAGAGAACTAAGTGAGATGTTCCTGAGGGCGGTCGCTAAGTCCCTGGTGGACACTGAGCAGGTTGAGGGCTTTCCGCAGAGGATGCAACTCTGTAAAAAAATCGATGAGGGCGTTTTCAGTCTCTAACACTCCTTCAGCCTGCACTACTCTAAGCTGTGTTTTCTACAACACTGTGGGATAACTGCACACTTTCCCTCTGGACTTTACGACTTGTTGGCTGCATGAAGTCTTAAGAGGACTTAGATAAAAAATGTTTATGAAAAACTTTATCCAAATCAAAGAAGGGAATACTATAGTCTTCATGTAAAGTCCAATTTGACCCCCATTCCACAGCTTCCTGTAACAGTAAAACTGTACATTGAGGATTTTCCCCTTCCTGCTTAAGGAACATACTGTGACTTATCCTGCCAATTGACTCTACACCAGTCCATGTCTTGGACTCCTGGTGTGTGTGGCTGTATCCATAACAAAGTGTCTGCACTGGGCCATCTGCATATAAACTGCTGGATGATGTTTTAGTGAGATATCCTTAGTGTTTCCACAGCTGCATGTTGAACATGAACATCTCAGGTATGAAACAGTGTTCTTTTATACATAACCTCAGAATTTTGATAAAGCAGTAACATAATATTGAATATTGCATTTTTATCATAACTGTTGCTAGAAAATATTTTCCAATGATACTTGTATACTGGTGGACTTTGTTATCTTTCTTACTGATAATAAGTTCTATTAGGAAGTAAACTTTTCAAGGTATCAATCAATTATAGACTTCTTGATTAACCCTCAGAGGTTTTGTTCTTTTTTATACCTGAAATAATCTTTGAAAAAAAATGTGTGGACGCAGTGGAGAGCCTTTTAAACTCTTTCAAAACCAATATATAATTCTTTGCTATATGTTGGGTAACTTATGCCATGTCAGATGTAGTTGTCTATAACATAAAAAAAAAATAATGGAGGAACACTATAAAATTCAGAGGAGGAATTTAGTATGTTCACCCACTCAGACCACTATTTTTAAAATAGATGCCTGGTGTCATCAAAACTATTCAACATTATTATATCTTATTTGTTTTCAAAATAAATCTAAAGTGAGTTATTCTGTAAAGCAACATTTTCTTTTTTGTGTTTTTATCACTGTATTATAATTACACATAATACTGAGGTTCACTGTGACATATTCATGTACACACATAATTTACTCTAATCTATTCCCAGTATGTCTTCTTTTCCCTCTCCACCTCTCTCCCCCAGTTCCCCTTTCTCTACTCTTCAGTCTCTGCTTTCTTTATTTACATGTATACATTTTTACATTGGTGAAAGTTATATATAAAAGTGGGATTAGTGTGGTATATTCATACATGGATATAGCATAGAGCCTTTCTTCCTCCTTCCTCCTTGGTCTCCTTCTCTCCTCTACTGAAGTCTCTTCTATTTTCATGAGATCCATCCCTGCCTTTTAATACCTTTTTACTTTCTAGCTTCTGCGTAGATGAGAGAACAAATATAAGATCCTTGCCTTTCTGAGTCTGGCTTATTTCACTTAGCACTGTGTTCTAAACCAGTTGCATCTGTTTACCCACAAAGGAGTTTAGAACATTTGTAAGTGGAAGAAAATCATCCATGATTTTGTCATCTCAATTTGACAATTAAATCTTTACATATTATCTTCCAGTTGCTTATGTATATTTATATCTTTGCAGTCACATACAATGCCAAATGTTTTTCCACTTTGCATCATATCTTTTTCATTCTGCTACATATTCTTCACAGACTTATTGCTATGGTTGCATAAGATTCTACTGATCATTCAGTTATTTTGAGGTTAAAATTCTTATTATTATAAATATGTGTGAGATGGCTATCTTCTTGCACAGAGACTTTTTCGAATGATTTCTTTAGAATAAAATTCCAGAAATTGACTAAATTGCCCAAAATAACATAAATTTTATTGTTCAAAACATACTATGATATTATTTTCAAAAGGAATTGTTTCAATTTAATGAAAGAAAAAATATAGCTCTTTATTTTACTTTGTCAGTTCTTTGATAATAGCTAGGGTTTACATTATTTTACATTAGGTTTTCTGTTTTCATACCATGTGAAATTTTTGTTCTGCACTGATAACTTACAAATTGAGCTCAATTAGAGTTAAGGTATAATTAAGGTAAAAAAAAAAAAACATACAAAACAACATACAAAATTACATGCTTTTTCTTTTAGGGATAATTTGTAAAAATAGTTTATTTCATTATGCAATTTGTACCACATTAGTATACTAAAATTTAAAGCTTGTATATAACAAAATGTGCCTTTTCATCTTCATTATTCTCTGTTTTTACAAGCATATCGTTAGTTTTCTTTTTCAGATATCTGATATATAATTATTTTGAGTTTATCCATTTGTGTTTATATGCTTAATGCTGCTTTACATTTGTTATTTTGCTATATGTTTTTGCATCAAAGTTTACTTTTTCTAAGTTTTTAAGTTTTGTGTAAACCAAATTATCTAAATGTGGCCTTATCAAATAACCCTCAACTTTCACATTGTTTTGCTGTGTACTTTAGAATATGTACAATTCTAATATAATGTTGTGTTCCAAGAGTTAGGCTTTCTTAATATCAAAAATACCTAATTTAAACTACTACTGATTTTAAATGGTTCTAATGTTTGGTGGACTGCAAATCTCATCTTATTTTTAAAGACAATTTTTACTTTTTTATTGCTAGGTGCAGATCTCTTCTTCCACTCTTCCAGAACCCCTATTCACAATTCACCTGAGCCCTGCCCAGAGCAGAGGACTTAAACAGAAGCCCACAAAGCTCCTGCCAGACGACTAGGGTCCCTGCTCAGCCACACAAATAGTACTACCTGTTTCTCTTCCACAATGACTAAGATACTAAGAGATATTAGAACCCATTGTTCCCCTTCCTCTCAGAGGACATCAAGACAAATCCTACC